GAGGGAATTCAACAATAACAAAAAAGTATCTGCAGCGTTTATCGACCTCACTGTGGCGTATGACATCGTCTGGCGCCAAGGCCTTCTTTTGAAAATAGTGCCCTGCGAGAAAATGTACAGGCTGCTCAAAAACGCGCTTAGTAACAGACCGTGCTAGTGCTCATTAAGAGTGCTCAACAATGGGCTTCCTTAATGCTCAGTACTTAGATCTATGCTCTTCAATGTGTACGTCCACGATATGACCAAAACAACCAGCCGGAAATATGGGTACGCGGACGACTTGGCCTCTACAAAATCAGAAGTAGACTGTTTTTACCTAAATAACAAAATAATCAACAAAGAACTTAAAGTGAAGTTTAAAAACACCAACCTTAAACATTATTTCTACCGCAAGTACCTTAGAGTCACCCCTGATAGAAGCCTGAATTTCAAATAGCATTTCCAGAGGGTGTCTACAAAACTGAAAACACGCAACAGCATCATCCAAAAACTCACCGGACCCGCCTGGGTTGCCATTGCAGCTACATTTAGGACCTCGGCATTGTCACTGGTATTTTTGATGGCCGAGTATGCCTCTGCGGTTTTGCGGTTTGACTGAAGACGCGGTGGCGCAACTGAAAACTGCAAATCTTTGATGAAGAAACGAAATTAGCCATACGATATATAAAAGTTTTTTTGCAACATTTACAGTAAAGGGTGCGTTTAATACCATTCAGAATTGTCTACAAGTCGACCGTCCGCTGTTTTTATATTTAAATTATATTCTTCTTTCCTTATTGACCAGTCAGAGCGGGAATATAATTAAAGCGTATGCTAGATGGCTTTTTAGCCGTCCAATATAGCTTACTACGGGACTTACTTTGTGACAGTATCTTACATGACAATTAATAACACCTGAAGTAATATGAATTGGATAGGTACGAACTAGGCAAATCAATTGATTTCCATGCATTTTTTTTAATAAAGGTGGTTAGTAAAAATTAAATATATCAGTGTTTGTTCAAAATTTGGGCTTGTAGTTATAAAGTGAATCAGGCGATTCAGGTTGTTCATAAGAACGGAGAGGCAAGCCTATTGCCATAATCTGGAAGCCCGCAATAAGTGCAGATGAGTGGAGCCGAACACTGTGTATAGGCACCCAGTTTAGACAAACTGGGTGCACTTTCGGTAATGTTTAAATGAAGATAATTCCTCAAAGTGGCCCTGCTGGAAGCCCACAGGGAGTTGTCATCTGGGCTTGCTTATTCCATGTTATGGATGAATCAACATTCATTGCGTTGCATAGTATTGGTTACTGTTCTGTGCAATGAACCGTAACTGCAGATCGTCGGTGGTATGGTTTAATTGTTTTACCGACTCAGATGTCAGCTGTCAGATGAAAGAGTTGTTTGCTGTGGTACGCAGATTGTCGCCGGGCCTATCCCTGTCTTGCTCAACCACGAATTGCAAGTGAAATTTCCCCTTGGACCTATGGCGTACATTACACTTGAAGTAAAAGGTATATTGTTTGTTATCGGCACTATGAGAAATCTAGGTGTTTAAATAGTAGGTATAGTTTAAATGCTTGGATTAATGGTCCTGGATGAAATACTTTGGACTATCGGATTCACTTTCCAAAGGTAAGATATAGATGTCAGAAAATGAGTGGTAAACGAAACCAAAAACTGGAGAGGTAAAAAAGTTAAAAGAGACACAGTATTTTCGTCCTGTCATAGAGCAAGTAGATGTAGTCCCCGTCGCTCCCTTGCGGCCATTTGTCGGCGACGCCTCCCAGCGGGCTCGTTCCCGCCATCCCGTCAACGCTCGTGATTTATCCCCGGCCGAGGTCGCTCGATACAACTGACACATAAATGTCGCTTTTCCCTTTACTGGAAGATTTACAGTGGCTGCTGAGGGAAATGATGACGGCTCTGCTTGTTTTCAAAAGAGAATTATGATATTTTGTTGATTTAATTGTACCTAAATACTACCTTATATATTAAATCTTCATTATTTACATCGACAAAGTTTAAAACAATATTTTCTTTAAGTAGGGCTACTATTTAAAAAAATATTGTTTTAGATTTGTATATATGTGTCGGGGATATTTTGAAAATGATTAAATGACAATAAGTTGATGAAAATTAAGACTTTTCCCATCTCTCTCACTTTAAATTAAATGTTAAATCATTAGTATATAACCTAGGGGTAATAACCCTCGAGGAGGTAAATTAGCTATTAGGGGCGTAACAAAGAACCAAATAATATTTTCTGTGGCAGAGTGGTTTGCACGCCGATTTTAAAGTGTCACCATCACTGAAGTCCCGTATTCAAAGGTTAATGTAGAAAATGAACTGTTTTAAGTAGGTACCTATATTTTCTCGGGACTGGGTTTGGGAGCCATGTATTAGATGCTGTATCATATTAATTTAGCTTCCCCCACGTGGTATACGTGTATTATACATAAAAATCTCTCTTTTGAATCATCCTAACTATTAAAAAAACGGCATCAAAATCCGTTGCGTAGTTTTAAAGATCTAAGCATAAGCGAAACTAAACATCAAAATTTGGTGAATGCAAAACGAATAACTATCACTTAGATACCTATACTTGTATTGCCATTTGAGGTTAGGGTAAAATCAGTTTCTTTATATATTTTTTTTATTAGTTCTACTTAGGGCGCTTGTGCACTACACTGAATTTTCAGGTCCGGCGGTCCGATTTTTTCCGGTCCGGAATGACATGAAAAACTCGGATGAGTAGCTTGTGCACTTGTCCGTTTTTTTCCTGATCGGAGCGGCGCAGTGTAGTGCAGCTCTCTTTGAAGCTACACGACTTGCGCTAGGTACGATGAGATTTTTGGAACGTCGGTAATTCCGTTCGAAGACATAGAAAGGTACCTAAATAATGATCTGATCGTATAACATAAACCATAATAAATTATGGCAAGGCGAAAGCATTTTTTTTTACTGCTATCGGATGACTACTATCAGATGTAAAAACTTATACCCTTACTTATTTAGGAACAGCATTATTCACATACAATAGCTAAAAATATCTGTGACATTAGAATAAAATTACTGATAATAAAATAAAATTATTTAATATTATAAATTATTAATAAATTATTAGATAATAAAATTACTTGATGTTTAAATTTTTAAACGTGCTATTTTTTTTCGAAGTTTTGTAAAAACAACTTTCAGCGATTACAGAGATAGACCAATCGGTGGCGCCATTTCGTAAACAAATCGAAATTAGTGCCGTGTTAGCGGAGAATTATTATGCTAAATGAACTTTACGAGATCAGTTGACTGTATTATATATAGGCATAATTTTTATACGCGTGGTGTAGTTTCTTTGAGCAGAAATATTTTTCCCTTAGAATACTTCTTTTTTAAAATTTATTAATGACACAGACATACATTAAAATTTTTATTAAATGCGAAAAAGACATTGAGTGTCACTTAATTACTTTTGTAAATCTTCTATTTATTCTTTATTATTACTTCTGTTGTCAAATATTTATCTATACTTATCAATTGTCTAAAAAAAATTTGATAATAACAAATTTCTAGGCAAACTTTCATCCCCTATTTTTCGCGATAAAATGTAGCCTATGTCCTTTCTTAAAGTTAAGTCTATTTACTATATTAATTTCCATTACATAAGCGTAACAACACTTATTTATCTAACCTTAAGCTATCGATACTTTTAATACGATTCTAAAATCTAGCTAAGTATCGATACTAGAACCATACGCTGATCAAATTAGAACTTTACCGAGTTTGCCAAAGCATATGCAGTGATATATACCAACTATATTGAATCATCATATAAAATATAGCATTTTATAATCAACAATAAATATCGATTATAAGTTTATTGGAAATTAACAATATTGCCGAAATAAATATCGATTCAAATCGATCATTTTTTCCCAAGCCTATTCCTTATGAATTTTCCGGATCTCGGACACAGTAGTGCACAAGCGTAAACACGTTTTTCATTGCCGCCATCACGGAACTGAAAAAACCGGTCCGGAATAGAGAAAAGTGAAATTCCGGACGGTAAAATTCCTGACAGTGCACAAGCGCGCATTACCTACATATGGCCTGACATATCGGACCTGAAAAAATCGGACCGCCGGACATGAAAATTCAGTGTAGTGCACAAGCGCCCTTACAGTTTAATGCACCATTTGTGGTTTACAGATAATAATTACATCTAAGTTAGGATTAGAGTACATAAACTAATTACAAGCAGAGACCACTTACATCAATGCAGTGTTTTAATAGTGTCTCACTGATCAATTATAATACTTCTTATCTTACTAGACGAGTCTAAAAAAATATCTTTTTGATTACAATAGCGGTTGAGGGACAGCGGAGTTGGCACCAAGAACATCTGAAAGGCGGACAGAGTGTTGTGGGTTTTCAAGGCACTTTTCGTGGCACTTAGAATTTAAATAGAGAAAGTAATGGGGGCCAGTTTATTTTACCCGTAAAATGCTATCGCATAACACAACATCATGAAGACAAATAGAACGACTCCTTGTTTAAGTAGATTCATTTTTAGGATTCCGTACCTAAGGATAAAACGGGATCCCTATCACTAACACTTCGCTGCCTGTCACCAGGCTGCATCTTATGAACCGTGAAAGTTAGACAGTTGAAATTTTCACAGATGATGTATTTCTGTTGCCGCTTCGACAAATACTGAAAATCAGTTTAGTTAGTAGCCGCATCGTCTGCAAAGGGTCCGTTACTTATGTTTTGTTATATTCCATGTTTATACTGAGGCTTGGTTCGTTAATATTATGTTACATATAAAAACTACTCATTTCTTTTTTAATTGGACTATATCAATTTGTTTAAAACAAAGTGGCGCGTTAATTATTAATTAATGTTAAAAAACTATTCTTGAAATCTCAACGTCAACAATCATCAAAATGTTTATCGATACATTAGTGAATTGGTATTTCAATTAGTAACGACATGCTAATGTGCGTATTTGTCTTTAGTTGAACTTGGTACGACCCATAAACACGATAACACGCTCAGATAACATTTTAACGTCGAACTCGAAGAGTTTAAGACGCTGTGAAATCATGACCTCCCTAATAAATATTTCCGAAGTGAATAAATTAACTAGTGAACAGTTCGAGTGGATGTTTGGGAATGTGATTGAACTGTGTACAGAGGCAGCGGCCAATGTTCATAAAAAAATACCATTCGGTTGCGTAGCGGAGTTTTGTGACGCTTTCCACCAATACTTGGATGATCTACCTATGGAAGGTAATTTTTTTTAATTTGTTTATGTATAGTTTAGAAAGCGCTGGCGAGTTATTCTCTAGGCATGTGCCTAGATGCGCTACGTGACAAAGGGTCGATAAATATACCCTAGGGAAGTGATTCCCAACGTTGATTAGGCTCCGGCCCAACTAACAAAACTTTCCAATCATAGGACCATATCTTAGAAAAGAAGAAGGTACCTACCTACCTATAAATGTCGAGATTCTCTAGTGGCAAGTCGTTGTACAATTTAATGGTGTTGAATTTGTTATAATTATAATAAAAAATCCCAAACACGAACAAATATTGGCTAGTGAATTACTGATGGTGATAAGTTACCTCGATTAGTTTACTACTAGTGGTTTTGGATTAGAAAACGGCCTAAAGTACAAACGGATAATACAGTTCGACGGGGACGTTCGGGTGGTTCGACGATAGGATTACAAGAAAGAAGGGATATCGATGAGACAGTTGTCTAAGGAACCATCAACTTTCAAACCGCCACTAATTTTCGTATAACATTGGTTTGCAAAATGTCGTGATGTAATTTATTTACAGGGAAATTGGTGATTCTGAAACTCCACCCTGACTTGGCGGGACGAATGGCAGCAGCGGGACAGTTAACGCACGAGTCAGCTGTGGAGCAAAAATGTGCAGGATTGAACGATCTCACTAAGGAACAGAGAGATATTATTGACATTAGTAATGAACGGTATGTATTTATATAAGTGTACACATCCAGATAAATGAAGTAACACAATATTAGGTACATTTGTGCTAATTTCTGTTGTATTAATCTGAAATTATTAATTCAAAATTGAATTTGATTGAACGTCATTCAGCAGTTATATGTAATCAAAGAAATATAATAAATAAACTCTTATACCTATAGCAATTTTACTTATGTTACTTTATTTAAAAATATTTTATAGTATCAATTAAAAATAATAAATTAAACAGTCTAGTCTGTACAACGGAATTGTTATGCTACTGTTGTTATCAAGCGCGGATCCAGGGGGTGGTAACGAGGATCATGACCCCCCCTGGGCCGAGTCCAGGACCTAGGTGGACGCCTAATTAAAATTGTTATACATTATGTTTTTAAATATTTTTTGTCCCAATATAAATTTTATTTAAATACCTACTTTCCAAATTTCATTAATTTGCTATAATACTGTGTATATATTATTATCAAAATTAACATCTTATGACTTGATCACGACTATGTGACCCCTCCGCGGCTCTAAAGCTGGGTGTACCCTTGATTGTTACCAAACGGGTAGCGACATCTACAGATTTTATATTGATACTCTAAATCAGAGGCGACATAGAAAAAAGTACGACAGTCTGCGCAGCGTTTTACCTTAAAGGAAACTATTATAACGTAAGATTTGATATTCTTTACGACTATCAATAGATGGCGCTAGTATCAGCTTAGCCGATTATATATTTTTTATTATCTGTAGAATTTTTATTTACCTTTCTGAATATCAACATTTGTACAAATTAAAAAAATATTTATATTAGAATATTCCATTATAAGCGAAAAATTTACTAAATACAGTAAGCAATAAATATAAGCTCATTTAAAATCACATTATATTTATAAAGTTTAGACATGCTTGGATTATTTTCAGGTACAAATCTAAATTTGGTTTCCCTTTTATAATCTGCGCTCGCGAAAACAAAGTTCAATCTATAATAGATGGCTTACGTCGAAGGTACAGCAACACTAGAGACCAAGAAATAGCCACTGGTATCAATGAAGTAAAGAAGATATGCAAACTAAGGATTCTCGATTTAGTAAAAGATGACTGATACCATTATTAGATTAACTACTTATCTATTAAACTGTTTTATATTAAAAAAAGAAATACTTTTTATCTGGTCCAGCAAACTTGTAATTCTTAAATACTACCTACTTTGTATGGAAACATTATGTAAAAGTAGTGCTTTACTTTAAACTTTTCTCTCCATAAGAACTCTTTCTTCATCTTTAGACTTCAACCAATATTAGTAAAGTAAATTTGCTGAATAGGTCTAGCTGTTCTAAAATTTTGCATTGAGTAAGATATTTAGATTAGATTTAAACTAGTTTTTATAGTCAAAAATACCACACTACAAAAATAAATTGCATTTTCTACATATCGAGCCTTTTAATTAAGAACATCAAAACCGCCATTTTGTGTATTTTACAAGTTTTTTTTAATATTTCTTAAAGTATTGACATCATCATTTTGATGTATATATTAGGTTGGCGAGTCTTTTCGCATATATTATGCATAAACATCTAATGAAATCTCTGGCCATAGCATCTGTATCTGGCTGGTTTCGGTATTATTAAAATGATTAAATTTTAAAGATAACTCTGAATTCAAATTAGGAAAATGTGTAATTTTAATGCTTTTTTTACAGTCAAAATGAGTGAATCTAATGAAGAAATTCGATTCATTTTAAAATTTCATTACAATAAAGGTAAAAATGCAACACAAGCCGCGAAAAAATTTGTTATGTTTAAATTTGGTTTAAGATTTTGAATTCTACTGCGAACAACTGATGGATTAGTTTTTTTTTTGTTGTTTGAATCGTTGAAAGCGGCCAGCATTAATCAATAGAAGGGGTATGTTTTTTATTATGATATTGCTAAACCTCACACATATTTTGCCACTCAGCAAAAATAAGTAGAGTTTATCTGGGAGGTGTCAATGCATCTGCGGTATGATCCCGACCTTGCACCTTCAGATTTCCACCTGCTTCGGTCTCTTCAGAATTCTTTAGGCAGTGTCAGATAAACATCATGCGAGGACTGCTTAAACCATCTGTCGCGGTTTTTGGATCAGAAGCATGATGGATCAGAAATTTCTAGCAATGGGATCATATCCCTGCTTACAAGATGGCAAAAAGTTATCGAACAAAACAAATTTTACGTAGCCATCTGATATGACATCTACTTCGTCACAAATTTTCGAAAATGGGTTCACAAACAGATTTTGATTCTCTAGAAATACAAGATGGTTTTGATGGGAATGATCTTTCTTTGCCTTTTTTATATTCTTTCCCTTCTTTTGTAATCTTCAGTCAAATTCTTTATTCTCGCGTTCATCACATTTGTCTTTTTTCGTCTTGAATACTTCTTAAACTTTGATGACTTACTACACTTAACTGTTTCGTAACATCATTATTCAATATAAAAGTTTCTATATAAATTGACCATATCCTTAAATCAGTTAGGAAATATAATTTATTACACATTTGTCAATTTTGGCTACATATAAAAAACTATTACAAGAAGTAATGGAAAAGATGGGAGTTTAAGGTTTATCTTTGCAATTTCATTTCTGTCGTCTAGTTTGGGCGAGAATGAACCCTCGACATATAATGTATTTTTTTCATTACATATGCATTATAGCTAATTTGGACGACATTTCTTACTACAAAACTAATCGAAAGACTATTAGTGTACCCACCCTTTTAACAATATCCAGTAACCTAGCTAATTTATGAAGCGCCTTTTATCTAAGTAATAAATATACACGTAGTTTAACAAATTTTGCTGATTTAAAATATGTAGATATAACACATATAACTTAATATCGAAAAAATGTCACTGGGATTAATAAGTCGTTCAACCATTGATAAAACTGCATACATAAAATTATACGTACACTTTCATTCATTAACATTTATAGAATTAGAATTTCGATTTTCTAAATATTCAGAACATAAGTCTATCTATCGACTACACATCAATGGTGAATTAACTTTTAAATTTAAAACACGGTTAAATGTGTCTGAGACATTTTAATCGTAAGTTTAAGTATGTTTTGATCCACAATTAAATACTACATTCTTTAAATTTAAATAAATAAATCTTTATCATTATTTCTATTTCCAACTTGCCAAGGTAATGTTTTATGGATTCTTAAATAAAACTAAAACAATAACTAATGTGAACATTCAAATGTGGTGATAATAAATAATAACTTAAAGCAAAATACATCAATTTGTATTGCAAGCAGCAAAAAAATTACAATTTTTTACTTCAAATTAAAAACGAGTTAGGCACAAATGTAAGTGATCTAATGGTTAGTACAAAAACATAATTGTTGTAATTTCGACTTTCACAATGTTTTTCCTGAAAAAGGAATGATATTTGCAAAATAATCTTATGTATGCAGTTTTTATTTTTAATAGTTGACATTACTTTTGTAACAACTATTTTATTAAATTGAGTGGGAATTTTATCAAAACTAGGTTTCATTGAGACATAATAAAAAAGTATTAGTTGTGTATTAAAAATAATAATTGAGAGAAAACATTACATATTCATTACAATTAGGTAGATCATTTCACAAAATACCAAGTGATCTCTCCACCATAGCATGAGGCTGTCCTGCTACTTCACAGAGGTCTGGAGTGTTGAGAATATCTTCAAAGCCGATGTCCAAGTATCTGCCATTCAGAACTTCACGTTGCAAGTTTGAACTAGGAAGAAATGGTAAGCGCCCAACCTGGAAAAAGTAAATGTAAATTGGATATGTAATAAACATTGAAATTTATTTGAAACCATTTAATGGTATGGTTCTATGATATATGCTATTTCTCATAACAGTTTACAGTTCACAACTTATAAACTTAGCATTCTAAGTAATTAGTTTGAACATTATGAAATATCTTGACTTAAACTTACATGGTCATTATAGTTATATAGGGAATTGTTAACAAACACCTTAATTTCAATCAGTGCCTTATATTGCACTGTTTTGCAGGCATTGTGATCACAGAGTAACCTTGATAATGGGACTTGTAACAGCTGAAAAATAATGAAAACTTACTCTAAAATAGAAGAAATAACAATTTTTTAGGTACCTTATTTGCAAACTTCATCTCCATCGTAAGTTTTAGAGGAGCATGCAGGCCCTGAACATTGCGGAGCATGGCCATACTCATTTTTTCTTCGTTTAAGTGGTACTGGAATAACAAAAAGCAAATTTAAATAAATTGACATTTTAAGGAGAATTCATTATACTAAGATTTCGTTAAATCTACAAAAATAACTGATCAATGAAACATTACAAATTTATTGCAGCAGTGTTTGAATTCATATTTATTATAGATTTTTCAGAATTCCATATACTGAATAATCAATAAGTAAACGTATTTTGATTTGAATATTATAATAATGCAGACTTACATTTCGTTCAGATTCCTCGAGAGGATGTGATGCACCGATTTTTGGTTTTGTTGCAGCAATGCCAGCAATCATAGGGTCTGGGATCCCGAAGGGGCCTTCTTGTGGCTTGATACTGCAAGCATTTTCTGGTTTAACTTTTATTGAAGGCAGGCCAAAACTCTGAAAAATAACCGTAGTACATATTAGAGTTGCTAAACACAAACTTGACCGATAAGCTAGTTATTTTAGAAAACAATAAAAACGAACCATGGTGATGATAGAAAAAATAAATTTTATGAGATAAAGATTTTTAACTCTTCTCAATGTAAACGTTTTATCAATTAAAATTATGTGCAGTAATCACCGCATACGAGTTTGTACAAAAATTGTATTGTCATTCACTTTTGTCATATTGTCAATGTCAAGTTGACGTCTTGCACATTTCACCGTTTAGATTAGAGCATAGAGCAGTACAAAGCGTAGAGTATATTGTTCTGTGGTACAAAGAGCAAAAGTTTATATTATACGTTGAAACGAAAAGCACTCAATTAAGCATGCTTTTTGAAATAAGTGCAAAAGCGGTTTTTCACTTAGAAGAAAAGTATGCTTATGCTTATCATACGTCCCGCCATCTATCAAGTCATAATTTAACTACTAGCTTTAATAAGTTTTTCTATTTCAGCATCATTCTAATGGAGGGCAGCACTTTACATAAATGCACTCTATTACGCGTTATATCCATCTAGATTTTTTGCAACATCTTTTTTGGTTGGTTAACCCAGACGCTTTTTTAAACGGAACTTAAAATAAAGCAGTACACTTTCGTTGTTGGAGTAGGTGCATGTTGTGTTGAAAGTTAATTGATTGTGTAAATTTAAAGTTAAACTTTATTATATTGATTTACAATTCTAAGCCAGTGATTAAGCTCGAAGGAAAATTCATTAATTTAAATAAAGTACAAAAAAATTAGACATTATCAATATTTTGTTAACTAACAACAATTTCGTTTTAATTGGATTTAGCTCGTTAGCTTTGAAAACATATTTATTATTTTAATTTTATTTATTTTAGTCAAAGCAAGTTAGTTTTATAAATAACTATAACACAAAATTCCATAAAAGGCAGTTTTTAAAAACGCTTATTAAAAATCGTACAACGTAACAACTCTTAAAAATTTTAAGCAGTTTTTTCCACCTCTATTAGGGAGCAGTAGTAGAAGTAGTTGTTTCGTCAATGGGACAGGCGAAGGAATAGAGCATAGAGCACAGCGAATATTCCAGCTTATTATTAGATTACAACCTAATGAGGAAGTATTTAAAAAAAAACGAAAGCACTAAAAAACACCTCCACTAGGTGTCGTCTTTAGCAAAAGTTAATATTAAGTGTCTTATATTTAATTCTTATATTTGTGCTAATTTAATATAATGATTATTAGATATTTGGTTCTAGGTTTTAGGAATAATGGGAACAAGAAATGATGATAATATTATTTTATCATTATAATCATAGAGAAAAAAAAATTTAGAGCTGTCAGTTGAAACAGAAAAATAGTCGTTTTGTCGCTTAGTTTATAGATATTTTTATAATTTTAGTTATTTATAAATTATTAAGATTAAGAAATGGCATCTCGAGGAGGCGGCGCTAAAAAAGAATTGGTAAATAAGTAGAACAGTACTAATAATAAAAATAAGAAAAACTATAATTTGGTCCGATTAACCAATTTTTATAATTTACACATGTATTAATTGATCCAAATTCGGCTTGAGTAATTGCTCGGTTAGCCAAACTAGAGATGCGCATCGCAAGTGAAAATATATATCGATAAACATCATATCGTTCTTTTATATCGTTGTGCTCACATATCGATTTTTCCGTGAAGATAAATGCGGTCAAATCAAAGTGATATAGTTTTATCTCAGATACTCCATAATACGGGGGCTATAGCTACTCATCTTGGATACTGAGCAATCTATGTGATGTTGTTTAATATGTATGAAATGTTTCCATGCTGTTTGAAAATGTTTATTAAAAAGTACAAAGTCAAAATATTGAAGAGCAATTTAATTTATCGATGTCGATATTATAAAAAGTTATATTGATGGAAGAACATCGATACCCGATATTATTAACGAAGGCAGTAAAATCGATGTCTGGAAATATCATATCCCTCGTCGTAGACTGTGACGTTACGACAAGAGCGCCAAATATTTTGGTACTTAAAGTGCTGTTAACTTTATTATTATATTTAGTTATTTAATTTTAGTATTTCGGCGCTGGCGACTTTTGATAGTTTTATGTTAATACATAAACATTCGTACATATGGTCTATTATCCACCTTATCCATCTAAAATACAGCCAAATAAGAACATAAAAGGAGTCAATCTCGAAATGGGAGTCAATAAGCTGTAAACTCGGTATTTTTATAAATCTTGTCTCTAAAGTAAGACTTTTGGTCTGCGTCAGATTATGGTATTTCTAAATATTATTTTGTGAACAATCTAAAAAACATTTAAGGCGCTGTAATTACCCAATATTATATAATTACATTGTTCGAATTTGAATTTTACATTCTCATTCAAGTAAAACTTAAACAAATTCCTATTTGAGATATGATTGTTATTATTTTATTAGGATCCAGAGGAGCAAATGCGGCGTAAATTCCGTGCGAAATGCTTATTTCGTGCTCTGGGTCGTCTAGTTATGTCAAACACGTACTGGCTAATAGAAGCAGTAGACCACTACGAAGGCGTGGAAGATGTAAAGCGAAGAGTAGAACAAGCAGTTCGCGGGAAAGCAAAGAAGAAACAGCTGCTCACTATCACTGTAAGAATTCTTTGATATTATTTTATTTTACTAATTGCATTATAATAAATGTCAGGAGTAAGGAGTCTCCTCTGAGGGCCCCTTTCAGCTGGGGGCCCGTGGAATTTTGCCGACTTACCACCCTGTAGTTACGCCACCGCTCGTTTTTACCGTTTGGGTACGGAACTCTAAAAATGTTATCAGGTCTATTACTACACTTAGAAACATATTAGTGTTAAAAATGAGAATAAGAACTATATTATTAACGTTTACCACAAGGACTACGACTTGATTAATAAATATTTTATTATTTAACAGGATAAAGCACTCTTAAACAAACCAGCTCAAGAGAGAACAGAATCAGAGAAAAAATATATCTATCGTATAATCGGCGGACTGAAATGTTTCAAACGTTATCCTAATGTAAGTGTTCTACTGCATATCTTCTATGTTAATACTTTGAATAAACTTTTTTCACTTTAAGTTAACTTCTGCTATTTTACTAAAGTGTCATAAACCAATTCATCTTGGTTCGAAAGAGTTCCAAACCGCGAAGCTATATTTGTAATTTTTAGATGGTGTTAGCGGGACCAATCAGGATTAGTTTAGGATAGGACATCACAATTCTGATTTGTTTGATTTCAGTATGTGAAAAAGAAATTAGCTGCCGTGACGTACTTCAAATACTATGGCCCAGGTCGTGTGATAGTACGTCAACATCACGATGCTCACGCGCTTTATTTCATCATCACCGGTGATACTATAGTCAGTCAGATGGTGTTCGACGAGTTACTTCAGCAGTATGTGTCCGTAGATGTTGGAGTTTTACATCCTGGTGATATGTTCGGTGAAGTATCTTTGCTTCATAACATACCAAGGACCGCAACGGTTACGACAACTGGTTAGAAAGCAACATTCTTTAAAATACAACCATACATATATTATTATTTATTTGTTTATAATTTTTAACTCGCAACTTTAGTATGATATTTGTGTAATGAAGCTGAAGATTAACATAGGCTACTTTTTAGTGAGAACAAAATCTTTTTATCATAGTTTCATATTAAGATATTACGTTTCAATTTGACATCACGCACTATATACTTATTAAAACATAACTATGCAATAATTGAGATATATCAGAATGACCTAAATATTCAACTTTCGTAAAAAATCCTTGATCGATCAAGCTGTGTAGCTTAGTAACTATTAGTTGCCACTTTTAACAGAACAAGGTAGTCGTATTTCTCTCTGAAGAAGTTTAACGTTATAAATATCAGGTCATTGTGAATTACTGGCACTGATGAAAGAAGATTTTAAGAATGTTCTTCAAGCATCTGTCCAGAAGAATTGGGATGAAGTTAAAGAGGCGATGTCCGCTTTCACGTATTTCGATGCACTGGACGAGGTGATATTTTCTAAAGCCAAAAGAAACAGTTTGCCTTGGAATACTTTTTATTGTTAATGATAGTAGAGTCTTACTTGTATTTTGATTTTTCTTGAATATATTTAGTAATAGTTACCTTACTATTTGAGGTTTAGTATATTTATTAACATGTTTTTAAAGAAATATCTGCGTTAAATCATGTCGAAACTATTTTTTTGAAATTTATAGTCGATATTGTTTAATGGTGTTGTATTTGTGTAATCCCAGTGAGTTGAGTAATAGCGACGTGACGTGTCATAAGGAGCTTTTGATTAACAGGTCGCTAGACGTGAGGGTTGTATTGTGGCAAAGATGAAAAGCTACGAACCAAATGAGACCCTTCTCGGAGACGGCGTGGGCGTGGCGAATTTCGTCTACTTCATTCTGTCGGGTCGTTGTCAGATGATTGAGTCCATTCAAGTAGTCGTCACTACCCACTTGGGGAAGAATTATTACGCACTTTACGATCCTTACGTGAGTGTTTCAGCGTTTATTTGAAATATCTTGGTTGTGTTACCGGTTCTTTGTTTTTAGGGTTCCACACTCAAATGCAAATTTGGAATCAAGTATTGCGAAAATTTTCCCTCCGAACTCTGAAACGACATAGCCTTAAAAAATACAAAGAATTGTTTTTAGCTAAAATCATCATCAGCTTATTAATGTTCCCACTGTTAAGGAATAGGCTTTCCGTATGGGTGAGTGGAATTGAATTGATTGAATGGGGAGAATAGACCATGACCCATGTGCTCAGTTTACGTCTACAGATGCAGTTGGGACCAACGGCTTAACGTGTCTACCGAAGCACAGCAGAACTTCAGATAATACATTTTTGATCACTCATCCTATAATTGGGCCGTAAGAAAGTTGTTTAATTACCGCATCTTAGACTTAACGGGTTAAAAGCTGCAGCATCGAGCTTAACGTGTTACAGTATAGATAGATCTTAGGAAACTTTTAAATAGTCTTTGTATTTTTTTTACATTTCCGTTTGTCACGGTTGCGTCGTTAACTGTACGTTGAATGACTTATTTGAGTCTTGTTTCTTAAATATATCTAATTTTGTTGGTGATGTGTGATGCTACATTAATATTTTTGAGTTTTTTGGAAGTTCAGGCTTCTATTAAATAAAAATAAAAAATAGAATAAATTGCCCTTTCACGCAAGTCATTGTAGACTCGATAGTAATATATGATGACCCTTTTTTTTCTTCTTATCTAGGTGCCTCCTAAAGAAAGCGAACAAGATTTCGATGCCAAATATTTTGGTGCGTATAAAAATTTAAACAAAAATTCCGAAGGCACAGTGCGTGAAAGCACCGATAAGGAATCTACTAAAACAGACGAAATACCCTCATTACCAAAACTATCTGGTAGTCTCAAACAGAAAAAGTCAGTCAGTATCAGAGATCTTGATAGCATCCCAGAAAATATAAACGAAGTTAAACGTAAGAGCGATAGTCTTACAAGCGACCTAACAATGGCCGAGAAATCAGAGGTACTTATGGTGGATTCTACAGATCACACGCGGGAATCTGTTAGGTATGAGTTATAATTTAGGTATCATTATTAGTATGATTACTTATTGTTATAATTATGTACCTATTTGTACTACTGGCAGAACTTTGTTGCAGATTAAGCGTCATTCCAGAAGTCATAAGCCGTCCAACTAATGTAAAAACCTATTTTATGCAGGTCATGTTTTCTTTTTTTAAGGAACTTTTTTATTACACCGTGCCATATTATGCCCGTGCTATGAATGTATCAAAAAGTGTTATGGGCATGAAAGCCAATGATATGGTCGACCCTGCCCACAGTATTGGATGTTATTACGGAACGCTTACGCCATGCACGAAGCGTTCTGTAAAAACATATTCATTATATTGGAAACATAAAGTAGTTTTTATCGCTCTTCTCTAAATAGTTAATGCTAATTCATAGTTCAGAGGAATAATTCAAATATTTAATTTAATTAACTAATTATTAACTTTTATAGGTATGTCAGATGAATCCGGGATACAGCTTTGGATTTGGAGAGGACATGCGCGATAGGCGTATCGTAGCTCTCACTAATGTAGATTGTATGTTGATGCCGAAAATATGGTTACTGCAGAGAAACACAGCGAACATCTGGACTCGAATACAGCATTATCTGGAAAAGAAGGTTGGCAATGTCATAAACATTTTATAAGTTTGTAAAATTGATGCGAAATGTTTAAAAAAAAAAAATCCAGTTCACGGTTCCACTCTCGCCAAAATAGGACGAAGATTTCTTGAAGCTTTAGCTTCTTTTTAGGTTCCATACTTCTAAGGGAAATGCGGATCCATTATAAGATCATCTTGTTGTCTGTTCGTCTGTCTTCATCATCATCATCAGCCCTTTTACGTCCCCACTGTAGGGGCTCAGGTCTTCTTTATGGATGGTTAAGGAGGATGGGCCATGACCCTCCACGCTGGTCCAATGCGGATTGGAGGGTATTAACGACTGCCAAAGTAGCCGGGATCAACGGCTTAACGTGCCTTCCAAAGCACGGAGTAGCTCAAGATAATTTTTTTTTTGGTCACCCATCCCGTGACCGACCATTGCGAAAGTTGCTTAACGACAACGATCGAGGGCCGCGGCACTTATCCACTACGCCACCGAGCTACTTTGTCCGTCTGTCTGTCAAGACCTTAAATTTGAGATAGCGTCGAGGTATAGAGTTGAAATTAAAATTATATACTCAGATCTACAGTGCCTTGAACACGTGAAAAATAAAACCTAGGTTCTAAAAAAGATTTAAAAAAAAATTATGAAATTTTACAAGTAACTTCGTATTCTAGTACAAGATACTATTGCCCAAATATTTCCGAATCGGAGATCTATTTCCAAAATTAGCTTATAAAGTGTTTTGTTCTTAATTATTCTATATATGATTCCTGTTTCATTATTGACCATAGATACCAACGAAGAAACAGCTATTTAAAGAGTTCGTGTCACAACGACGCTGGCAGGAATTCCGCGAACAAATGGTTACAGATGTCGTCTCACGCTCTAATGCTGTCAACTGGACTTCTGTGCACGATGTGCCTTATTCCATCAGGATGGAAGAAATGCTAGACATATGAAGAAAACAAAAATATTGCAATAATTGTTTTGACCTAATGTTATTATTATTATTTATCTATATTAAAAATAAAATCATTAAATAAAATAAAGAAAAATCTGATTGCTTGTTTGTTTCTTTGTATTTTAAACTACTGGAGCGATTTTAAAAAGTCTTTCGCCTACGGGGAGCTACATGATTTGCTGAAGATAGGTTATATTTTATTCCGAAAAACAACAAAGAAAAAGATGAATTTGGGAGTAAATGTTTGTATAGGGAACTAGTGGCCGCCAGCGACTTAGTCCGCGTTTTCCATTATTTCTTCGCTCCTTATAGTTGCAGCGTGATATTATATAGCCTAAAGCCTTCCTCGATAAATGATCTATTCAACACAAAAAGAATTTTTCAATTCGAACCAGTAGTTCCTGAGATTAGTGCGTTCAAACAAAACTCTTTATAATATTAGTATAGAGTTATAAGGAATATTAACTTTGCCATAGTAACCATTGTTTACTGTTCAATTTGTCATTGTAATTTTAATCGGGTAGTATTTATTCTCAAAACTGTAAATCCACTTTTTTCTATCAAAATATTCAAAAGTGCTGACTAAAATACTGAATTGCACACCTAATTTGCTCATCAAATAAATTAAATATTCTATACTGTTTGATCTTTAAAGCTAAACTATTTTACTGAATGACTATCTGTTAACTTAAAGTAAATCTAATAATTCTTTTAGTGCAACAAAACATTTAAACATATTTTTTTGGAAACCATCACCTATTAAACTTTAAAGAACATGAGTTATTCTAAATAAATCACCAGTTAATCAGTCATGTTTATTAAATTAAAGTTCACAAATAAACAAATAATTGTAATCTTATTAATTCCCTAATCATGAAATTAAAAGAATACTTAGTTATATAATAATTTTACTGCACAATTAGGACAGGTCTTGCTTTTGTTGGACGTCCGCGTTTTCGCTTTATGCCGATAGGTATGTTTGTATGTTTTAGGTATATTAGCTTCTGCAGGTGGTGTGACATATTTTAACCTGATAGCCAGTCCTATGACATGTTTGCAAATGTAGTCTTTTAAAAACTGCGGACAGTTACATTCGCCAGTTTTCCATTGATCTTTGTTTATAGGCAATATAACTGTCCAATATGCGAAAGCAACTTGTTTGTATTCATCGAAAGAACTCCAGTCTTGTCCAAACTGGACGCTTGTTTCTCCTGAACTTGCAATCAAGTATGTTTTTTTTTTATTGAATCTGCCTTTAAAACCACTACCTTTCGGTCTGACTTCGCCCATTGGTAACTTGCGGTCCAATCTTTGAGCTCGATTGGAGGAGAATTCGAAAATGATTCCATCAGGTGGGTTTCTGACCATTGTTTCACCATATCTAAGACAACAACCAAAAATCTGGATAATGGAAAACGTTCTCGCAGAGTATGGCAATCTTTGATTGATCTGTTAAACGATTCAAGCGAATTATTTGTAATAGGAGATCCTTTTGAAGAGCCAAGATACCAATTGGGATTTTGATATACCCACTCTTTCTTGAAGTAAGTAATGAATTCTCTTTGGTCGGCATACTTTATCATAAAAGCTGCTAATGCAGACTGGAACATATCTGGAGATGTAGCGGAGTGTAACAAATCAATATCCTGTAATATAGTCTTCTGCTTTTTTTTGTCTACTAGTCTTTCTTCTACATTGCTCATAATATTTTTTTTTGCATGGAACCAACACATTTTTACAGTAGCTTCTTCACCAAATACTTCTTTAAATGCATTAATTATGCTCATAGCCGAGTCGCAAATTAATGCTTTTGGGTTTAAAGAGTGTGCGTGAAGGTTGAAAGCGCTGTTGCGAAGAGCTTCAAACAACATTTTAAAATCTTGTTTACGTTCAGTAGTAGTAACGGCAAGACAAAGAGGATGAAACTTCTTAGATTTATCAGTAGTACCGACTAATAGTACAGGAAAACCTTGCCAGATTAATTTATATGTAGCATCTGCGTGAATGTTTGTGGCTAATGTTGTTAACTTTAGCAGAGACTTTGTAGAGATTGCAAATCGAAAAGTCGGAGTTTCATTGCTCTCGTAAACATGGTAACCAATAACATAGGGTTCATGTTCATCAACAGGTGTCTTAGAATTATCTATTAACCAAGCCTGTAGTTCCCCGAGACTGATTGAAGGTGATCCGTAAACTACTCGACGGCGGTCAGACAAATAATTATTTAGTTGTTTCTTTGAGGGCAGTGTAATCCCTTGAATTTTTTTCAAACTGTTTAATATAGCTTTAGGTTTCAAGTGTAGAGCGAAAAGTTTATTAATTTCATCTTTTGTCTCCTGACATATTCCGTGCCGCGTCTCTTCTGTAGCAATAGATTCATGGTCATGATCAGAGTCAGCTCGATAAAGTAACACGTCACTAGAAGTTGCTTCAAAAAGCAAATAAATACTTGCTGCACACTGAGGTCCTCGAAACTTCACTTTACTACAACGATAAAACTTTTCGTTCCCTTCTTCAGTGTCGTGCGAAACTTTGTACGACCACGTATTTTCAGCACGCACAAAACTCTCGGCTTCCTCAGCGTTTGCGAATTTCTTAACGAATGTATACACTTTGCCCTTTGACCTCTTCTTCTTCTCCAAAGGCTGCACTTCTTCGCTTTCTTCTGAGCAGTAAACGGGAACATTTTCATTATTTTTCGTACCACTACCGTTGATTTCTGACCGGTCTAACTCCATGTTTTTGTTTACTAACGTAAGAAATACTTAATATATTTTTGCACTAAAACAATGCAAAAAGATATAGTTCACCAAGTAATTAACTTATTTTCCACTTAAACTCGAGCAAATTATTCTTATCAAATGAATGAAAACAATAACAAATGCACGCCACCATGCGCCGTGTAGGACTGCGAAATAACATCACACGATCTCTCTCACAGCGAGGCGATGGAGGCGACAGGGGCGAGCGCGATGCGACTAGCGCGCGCGAGTTAGTTCGTTTGATCGCCGCACACCGTTGTCAAAAGCGCGCCAAATATGTTTTCAATAAAACAGATTAACAGAAATGAATAAAGTTGGGTAATAGGGGTTTTAAATAAACAAGTAGTAAAGTTGTGAAATGTAATTTGGTAATCTAAATATGCATTCTTTGTTATGCAGTTTTAGAGAATGAATTCAGTAATTCCGTTGTAATATTGGATAATTAGGTGTGCAAATCAGTATTTTTGTGAAGCGGTAAGTAATTTTGTTTTAGAATACTTATATATGTGGTTTTAGCTAGATTTTCGTTGTAAATAAAGTAAAAAAGTCAAGGTGATTTTAATTTATTTTAAACATTTTCTGATACTACATGTTTTGTTATCCAAGTAGTTAACTTGATATACAGTCATTTATTTGATATACAGGTAGATTATTAGTGGAAAAATGTTGTTTGCTTAAATTTTAAATAGAGGTGTCATTAAAAATTCCCCATTTTAATCGTGTCTTAATATAATAAACAGTTCCTGAGGGACCACGCTAGTGAAGCCGCTTGCAGAAAGCTAGTGTTTAATAATAGAATCGATCTTTAAACTGCTTTTGTCGTAAGAACGCTGTCAGAAATTCTCTTAACAAATGTACCTACTTTGTGACACGTTATCTGTCACGCTCCAAAATAGATATGCGATGTGTAAAGGACATCGAGCCGCGTCTCAACAGCAGCGCCACCAGCGGGACCACAGCGAAACCTTCCCCTCCCCGCGCGGTGCGGGGTAGCATACCCCCACTCTGCAAAATCTTATGAGATAACTGACTAATATATGAGCTAAGTGCGAGCAAACAAAATGTACTTAAGTGATCGGGTTTTTGCAATAAAGCATGTTCTGCCATTGAATGTTCTCTGTGTTTTCTCCGAACCAAGCGTTTTATTTGCGACCTCTGCTACCTACCTGTTGATAATCTAGCCTACAGTCCATCTGCTACAGTTCGTGGTCCTACGACGCCGGATCAAGAAAGTCTGCGATCCTTCTACACCGGATCAAGCAAGTGTCCGGATCTTTCGGCATCAACTCAAGAAACGGAATATTCGAGAGTTACGAAGCCGCTACAATGGTGAAGACGCGTTCTCAAACCGAAGAAGCGCCGATACGAGTGTTTGAGGAATCACCTAGGTCTCCATCGGCAATAGACATACGTCTCGGTACAGAGATACGTCAAGATACAGAAACACGGCAAGGTACAGAGTCACGTCTCGGTACAGATATACGTCAAGGTACAGAGTCGCGTCTCGGTACAGATATACGTCAAGGTACAGAGTCGCATCACGGTACGGGAATACGTCACGGTACGGAGTTACGTCATGGTACAGGAGCGGGGGGAGGTCAATCGATCGAAACCACATTTCAGCCCCCCGCTCGCACGGTACGTCTCGTCGCCCGTCCTTCTCAGGACGCGGGACACGAACGAACGAGACAAACCTCGCCTGCTAGATCCCGCCAGTCATCTAGCAGCGCCGCGGCTCGCATCCGAAACATCCAGCTAGAAGCCGAAGAACGCCTAGCCGAGATAAAGCGACGAGAGTTCGCTATGGAAGCGGACCTAATTAGGAAGAGAACCGCCGCAGAAATATCGAACATAGAAGAGGAAGACCAAGAAGAACAGGGTAGCAACATCAACCCTAACGACAGAATCGACGATTGGCTGCGACAAGCCGCCGAGCCCTCCTCCGAACCACTAAGAGAGACTGCCACTCCGGGACGCACGGTGCCCCCCCACGACGAGAGCACCATCCCTGTGCGCACTCCGCAGACCCCGAGGCTGGAACGGGGGGAGCGACAGGGCCACGCAGCCGTTCATTTCGAGCGTCGAGTACGGTCACCGACGCCGTCACGCCACCGAAGAGGCATCGAACAATTGGTCGACGCGTTCGACAAGATGACCCGTAGCGCACGTCCAGCGCCACGTCAAGTGACGGAGCTGCCCATATTCACAGGCTCTGTGAACGAATGGCTGCCGTTCAAAGCCGCCATGAGGGAGTCGTCCGCCGCCTACGACTTCACACCGACTGAAAATATGGCCCGCCTTCGAAGCTGTTTACGAGGGGAAGCGCGGGAAACCGTCACAGGTTTAC